AAAAAAAAAAAAAATCAAACACAAACACAAACACCAACAAAAAAACACTAGATTAAACTAAATTTCCAGAATACTTTGCCATTTAGATCGGAGAATTTATGAAGGAAATCGGGTTTTAAATTTCCAGAAACCGCAAGATTATATAGCCAAAGGGATTGGGCTGCATCTAAAATCATCTCCTAATGTCGCTACTAAGCTATTTTTTTGGAATCAGATTATTTATTATATTGATAATATTGGATAATGTAACAAAGTTAAAGTTGTGTTAAAACAAAAATAACTGAGTTAAAAAAGATTGATTTTTTAGTTGAGTTCATATCCAATCACACCAGGGGCGTAGGCATACGTGGACCAGTGTGGGCCTATGCCCACACTGGACAATTAAAAAAAAATATTACCTATATATATAGCTCATATAGATGTATCTATACATAAAGCCAATTTTAAATTGGCTTGCCCATTAAGAAAAAAGCCTAATACCCAAATAACTAATATACTAATATTAGGAATATAAAAAGGATTTAGCAACAAAATTAATATTAAAAAAATCTAATAAAAGTGTCTTGGGCATACGCAGTCACGAAGACAAATAAAAAGAGAAAAAAGAGGGGAAAGAGTAGAGGGAAAAAAAGAGAAAAGAGGGGAAGAGTTTATCAATTTTTTGTCAAATTATTCGAGAAGACGACTTGCAAGGTAACGAAATCCCTTTATATTTTGTTGGAATTAAAAATTATTCTACTTTATTTTTTAGGTAACAGTAAATATATTATTTTTATGTAGAAATTGCAAATTCAATCCCTAAGGTGTTTATAGCTCTTTAAAGTGTGATATCACAAAATAGAAAATTTTATTGATTGTAAATTTATAAATTATTTTTTATATATCATATATGGAAATATATTTTACAAAAAGGCCTCGTCAACAAGGTGCTTGTGAAAATGTCTCAAAAGGAGATACTATGAGTCCAAATAGATTTGAGGAAATCTTCGGTATCACTGCGCATAAAGAAAATACGACCAAAAGTTTAATGGTGATCGAGGAGTTTGATTCTTCTCAATTTCCTCAGATCCCGGATTGAGAATTCTATTCTCAAGGTATAGTCCAAAGATTAGAGACCAAGTTCGAAGAACATATTTGCAGAAAACCATTTTCAACTGTTTGATCACCATTTTCCCATGACGAAAGCCTCAACGTCATCAACAAAGGCCGGAAGATTTATTTCGAGTTGTGTTGTTACCCAATTTTGGCCTCGCCTATTAAAATGTTACGCGTGGATATATATTAAATAAATATAAAATAGCAGGTTTTTTTATTTTATTTATATTGACCAAGTTCCTAGAAGTCAAGACGGTCCACATCCAAAACCAATCAGAATTCAATGACGCCAGCTTGACCCAGATATCTCAAAGAAGCTACATTGACAAACACGTCAAATTGTCCACAAGACACATGCAAGTCGAAGTGCCAGTCAATCCAGTTATTAGACCCTGCGCGGTCATGTTTTATTAATTACATGTGTATTGTAAAAGCCCATTAGATAGACGGGCCCCTGTTAGCCCAAATAGAAATATATATAAATATGGGCTAGAGGATATGACTGGGGGGACTTTTAATTTTTTCCTCCTTTATCTGCCACCAAAGAAGGCACCGCCCTCAGAGGTCTTCCTGATCCTCTCTTTCCCTCATAACAAGAAAGAGATTACACAACTTTTGTGTTCTTTCAATTTCTCTAGTCTTTGTATTCAATTCACAAAATATACAAAAATCCTATAAACACACAATTTCCTGAACACCCCTATGTTGTTACAATTTCGTTTAACAACAGTTTGACGCTAGAGGAAGGGCTCCGTAATTTATTCGGAGCTAATCTTCACCGAAACACCACAACCTGCGATCTATATTTTCAAATCCATCTATATTCTCCAATTCATATCAAGCCTATGTGAAAATATCTAGGTTTTGAGCTTCTAAGCTTTCTTTTGCTGGAAATTTACTTTTCACTTGAAGAAGAACAACAAAGAACATATATGAATTTGGAGGGCTCTCCTCAAAGATTTATGGAACAACAAGAAAGAATTCTCAGATTTGAACTCGTATTCGACCCTCGAGTTCTCTTATTCTTACAAAGTGAGTCGAGTAGAGCAAAACACACAAAAACAAAAGGAACACGCATAAACAGAAGTCCCGGAGGCAGAACAAACTAAAAAACAGATGCGTATAAAGTCAATCGACGAGGGGATCCAAAATGGCGAACGTTATGCCCCAGACCGGCCAGAAATATCCCGCAGCAAGGCCCGTCGCCACCGTCAGTACCGACAACAAAAAAATCATCATCAATAGATGACGTACCTAACGAAGCCCGGTGGTCTCGCCGACTGAAAATCTTCCACGACAAAACATGCTTGAGGCTGCCGCCCAAATATCGCGGGGCCCACTGCACCTTTTTAACCATCAGGCACCGCTTATAAACGGCCGGTGGTCAAGCCGACATAAACTTTCAACAATAATACACGTTGACGTTGCCACGGTAATACACGTCGACTTTGCCGCCCAGTATCACATGACCCACTTATCTTTATCGAAACACGGTTGAACAGAGCTTGTCATTTCTAAACCGACCACAGCTACCGGGGCCCGACTATATCTCGAAATACGACGTCGGTCATCGGGCCCGACCATATCACGCCGACGACCGATTTTGTATTCTTCGGCAAACACCCGACTTCCACAACTGACTTCACAGTGATGGAACCTCACAAGTCGGCACCAACCTAAGCCCCAGTACCAACGTCGGACCGACGTCATCTTTATCGAGATCGGGAAAAATTCAGACCGAAATCTCGATATAATCAGAAATCACCGACACTCACATGTCGTCGGGACCCTTCACAAACCGACATTGCATAGTTGGGACCTCGGCATCTCTAAGTCTGACTTCATCACTGGAGCTGACTCCACCTTGACAAATCCGAGCCCGACATCGACTTCTCCGGACCAACTTTGGTGTATCCGACGTCATGCAACTCTTCGCCGACTGATGACCGACTTCACAATAGCAGATCTCCCCCAGGGACCCAAACAAAGCCTGGCCAACCTCGGTACCTCAGTATCCGACCTCAAAATCGAGGCCGACTGCACAAATCGGCCACAACCGACCTCAACATCTCGGCCAGACATAAACTCGACTTCATCTTCTACGATCAGCCGACGTCAGTCTCTAAAGCAGTACCGACCTCAACATCTTTTCCCGA